TAAAAGCGTTCCATGACGAAACAAGGATTGAGAAACACTGCTGTAAATGAATGTATACGGAAACTGGCAATTCTTTCGGTACCTCTGCAAAAGCTTCATATAAAAACTTACTTCTGAACCTTTTGGAAAAATGACAAAACCATAGTTTAATACGAGGGAAAAGAAAGAATCTTAGCAAGATCAATAGAATATATTTTTACAAAGAAAAGTCGAAGGAAACTAATGATTGAAAAATATGTATATAAAAACACATAGGAAAATGTATATCAGCACACATAGAGTATCATGGCAAAATTAATAATAATAAATGCATATAATTAACTTCAATTTAATATGTAAGGAAGGTAGGCTGAAATTTACTTAGATTTTTTTTTTTTTTCATTATATGATAAAAACAAATGTGTAGAATAGTCTTACCATAAAATCGTAACACAAAAAATGTTACAATACTCTAGAAATATACTTTAAAACCAAGTGTTCTTTTAAAGCGAAACTTTCATGCAGGGACCCCCCCCCCCCGAAAAAAAAAACTTTTTCTCACTGTTTGCTTTTTTCTTTCTTGCAGAAGTAAAAATAGTCTTTAACTTCTTATATTAGCAAAATGATACTAAGGTGGGTGTTTGGTTGCAAATAATGGACATTAACAAAACACAAGGATAATGTGCATTTACCTGCGTAAGTCTGTATGCATATACAATTAAACAAAATTCAACTCTTATTAGTTTTAATCTGAAAAAAAAAGGTTAGCCTATACTTTAGGGTGCCCCTTGGATTATCGCCAAGTTGTTGCTTAATTTATCACCAACTTGTTGTTTCATTTATGGTAACCTGGGAAGCTGAATGTTATGGAAACCCTATTATGACGTGACTGCGGTAAATTTGACTAATGGGAAAATATCTGTAAGGGCTTATTTCTGCATTGCGTACTGCGTGCTTTGCATCGTAAAATGGCTGCCGGCGATAAACTAGGTATTTGGTGATACAGAATGAGAGAAGAAAAGAAACTCTTTTGGATGTAATTCAATGGAATTATGAGTGTCCTGTTTGTACGAAGGAAATGTGTATGATCGAATGTAAAGACCATTCAGATGGCTTTGAATAGGTTTGTTGCAAGAAAGGTTCAAATGCTCATTATATAAAGCGTTCCATTAGAAAGGGAACATGGTTTGAGGAAAGTTTTTCGATATAGTTAAGGAATTTTGTGTGCCACAGACTGAAGACACAGAAATTTGTAAATAAGGTAAGAGGATATTTCCTTTGTGTAGAGTGCACATGCAATAGTAGTACATAGTGCATTTTTATGTTATTTCATTGTTTGATTTAATATGCAGTTTATTGAGATTATATATTTTTTGTTTAGCTCCAGTGTACAATTGGGTGTTTTAAGTGAAAATAAATTGATGTGTACATGGACAAAGTCAGTGCATAATGCAGAGTTTGTGCAATTCTCTGAATTTTTTTAATGTGAAAATAGATTGATGTGCACATGGAAACCGAGTTTGTACAACTCTTTTGACTTAATATTTTGGTTTTGTGTAGCGACCGTCATGAAGCGAATTATAATGACGAGGCATTTGATTTAAATCATATCAAAGAGGGAGTACATCGAGATGAAATACTACATTTAGTAAGGAATTATAAGCCAAATAAAATAAAAACATCTGCCCCGAAGATAAGGATAGTGCTGACAGATCAACTTCCTATTCATTGCACGCTGTGTCATTTCTCTTTCCCCGCAGAGCAGCGTGAAACTGATAAACAGATTTCGGAATGGTTAGAGAGACGAAGGATATGCCTTTATCCATTTTTTGCAGCAATTTCACTTTTTGTTTAACGGACTTCGAAACATACTTTCGCTTTGTAGATCCTTTACATATTAGTAAATATATATCGGAAATTCTATTTGACATAATCGAAAGTTCAAGCTTACTTTTATAAAACTGCTCTAACAGTCTGCAAAAAATAATAAGCCGGATCCAATTCGAAGATTAAGGAACAACGCAATCTGCAACATTAACTGAAATACATAATTAGATAATTTTAGCTTAGCTTATACTGTCCGTTATACATTCAACGCGCATGCGTAAACGTATTATGTGCATGCGCACACGCATATTCTCAGCCGCATATTCGCAGAAAGTTTGTAGGGTTTAATCCTAGTATCCGGTGCACACGGGATTTGGCTACTTTTGGCGACTTCTATAATGAGCAGTAAAACAGGACATATACGATGAGTAGTAAACGGGTCATTCAATGAATATATATAGTTATACATAGTATATACTATGTATGTCACTATACACATAGTATAGTATATACATAGACATTCTTTGGGTCATTTTTGGTGTTGGCGATAATCTTCAAAAAAACGCCAAGGTTGCACCGTATACTAGGATTTTATCATTTGTACCTTTGAGGTCCAGATTATGGGTGTCCGAATTAATGACTTTTGACTGCATATATTTTTACCAAACAAAATTATCAGTTTTAAGGACGGTGAATAAAAATACTACCAATTAAAAAAACAATTTGGTACAAAGTTCTTCTTTTTCAACAAGCAAAAGTGTTCAGATCAGAAGCAGTTTTAGTTAAAATCAATATCAATCCAAAAGGTGACTTTGCCATATTTTATAGTTGTCCCTATTTTAAAGCTCACTCACTCTCATGACAGTATGATTCAGTTTTGTATGTGTATGCACATAGTTACATAAATACCCATAATAGTTTCTTCTAATTTCTGCATTTATATTAAAAGATGCAATTAAAAAAAACACACACATTTTAGATTGCAATTCCAGGAATATCCAAGAAAATATGAAATTTTTTAAAATGAATGATTCCCAATAACCTACTTTTGAATACTCATTAATTCAAATATTATCTTAAATTTAGCCAGTTACCACTCAGTCACTTAAAATCTTAATGAATTTCATTAGTTACAGGCCCTAATTACACTTGTCCCCCCCCACAATAACCCAATTTTTAAGACCACTGAATACTGGTAGTTTGATCTGGATTTGAATTCAGGTGAATTATCTGGCTGGATGATTGGTTTTTGTGATTTTTCCCATATGTAACATGAACAGGAGTCTTTCCTTTTGAAAGTCCTCCACAAAGGCATCTCTTCAATGAGGCAGATAGTCTTCATGTGTTCTGCCGTATTCAGATAACCTAACCTAATTATACTCAATTAAAATCTGCCCTTTAATTAAAATTTACAACCACACATCTCTTTTCAATAATCTCTATTTTATTCATTCACATTCAAAAGCAATACACAGAAATTTAAAAGTGACAGACTAAATAATTAAGGGCCTTTTTTTTTAACATTTTTAACATTCTTTTTTGATATTTCTTTCCTCATCAAATGTCATAGCAATAAAACTTCTTAAAAATATAACAGGAGTCTTTCCTTCTGAAAGTCCTCCACAAAGGCATCTCTTCAATGTGGCAGATAGTCTTCATGTGTTCTGCCGTATTCAGATAACCTAACCTAATTATACTCAATCTAAAATCTGCCCTTTAATTAAAGTTTACAACCACACATCTCTTTCCAATAATCTCTATTTTATTCATTCACATTCAAAAGCTATACACAGAAATTTAAAAGTGACAGACTAAATAATTAAGGGCTTTTTTTTAACATTTCTAACATTCTTTTTTGATATTTCTTTCCTCATCAAATGTCATAGCAATAAAACTTTTTAAAAGAATAAAATACAAACAGTTGGATGAAGTAAAATAATTTGTTTTTCAATTATGTTGCTTTCAAACACAATTGAATAAAATTTCAGTATTTATAAATGTCGTTAATAAGGTAAAGAAAACTTTTTTAACATTTTCTTACAATAAAAATACAAAAAAAAAAAAAAAAAAAATGTTTGCTTGTGAAAATAAAAATGCCAAACTCCAAATATTTAAATAACATGCAAATCTTGCTTTTTATATCTCTAATGACAGTACGTTAAGTATAAAATACACTGTAAATGTTATTACTTAAGACAGACAGCAACTTATTTCAGAACTGCAGATGTCCAGGAAAATCACTTTTACTTTTGATAAATATGATTATAATAAAATTCATATATTGAAATTAAAAATCTTCTAACCATACAGAGAAACCTGGGGTGGTCCATATTTCGAGGTGCCCCTTGGATTATTGCCAACATGTTTCATTTATGCTAGTTTATTTATGGTATTTTTTTAATTTTCACCAAGGAGCACATTGTAATGTATTTTTTCCATCTGCTACAAGACTTGAGTTATGAAATAGCACTTTTATTCGATTCCTCTACTCATATTAACTTACACTTATAGAATTTCAGTTCAATGCACAACATAACTAACTAAAGGTTCTATAACAAGCAAATTCCGTAAAACAATGCATGATTTACTTTATCACATGATCGGAGTTCAAATATCAGCTTGATTATCGGAAAAACAAAATCTTTTTGCAGAAATTAAAAAAAAAAAAAAAAAAAAAAAAAAAAAATGTAAACAAACATACCTTCATTAAAGATTTTGGTTTAATAAGAAAGTTTAAACAGGGACAACAACGTTTAACAGTTAAATTCTGCTGCAAAGTTCATGGAATCACAAAGTATATATAAAGGGAAAAAATATTTCATGCAGATGAAAATAGGGAGACTACATTAAATGATTTTAAGTTAAAATTTTCAGATATACACAGTAAACAAAGCAGTTACTTCGATAGAACTTTCAAGCAATACACGATCAGGACAATTATAAATTATATATCGATATCTGTCTACGAAGACTGTCATTCTGTGAATTAAACAGGGGTAGTTCTTTTGTTTATAAAATGAAGAAGGCTGTCAAATGCTCATCAAATGATCTCTCAGAAGGCTGCAGTGGTCAGTAGAACTAACATAAATGTTTACAGTTGCAATGAAAGTGCATAACGCAAATGCTATGTAGTAGGACGGTCAAAGAAATAAAAATCTCTTCTTTTCAGCATTTATAAAAATACAGAAACGTACCTTACTCTACCACCACACCGCTGACATCCAATTCCTTGCCACCCTTGGTCACAAACGCAACGGCCTTCTTTGCAAACTCCGTGAACGCATTGCACGTCGTGACAAGAAAATGACGTTAATGCAGCAGGCTCAACGGAAATTAAAAGGCAAAATATCAAATTCACGAATATGTACGCATAAGTCAAGATATCGCTCAACTTTAATTTTCTTCCATGCGTAGAGCTCACCACTAAAATTTCCATCATCGCCCTTCCATTGCTGCACTGTACCGTCGAGCATATTCGTACACCAAATCTATAGGTTTGCCAGCCAAAGTAAGATAAATGTCGCCAAAACAGAAAGGACTAAATAAGTTGCAGCCACACGACAGATGAAAATAAATATAATATTAGGGTGGTGCTTAAGGTGTTTAATTGCCGTACGATTTCAAAATATAGTAATTATTTTTTAATTCTTAAGCAGATCAAATGTTTATCTGCAAATGCGTTAGTCTTATTTTGACGATAGCTTCTCTTACTATTAAGTTCAGAATAGAAAAGTCAGACTTATTTATTTCTGATAGGAATCTTATATTATTTTAATTATAAATAAGTAACTTTTATAATTTTCTGTACAGTTTGTTTTTTTCTCCCACCCCGCTTCACTCATTCGTCAAGAAGAAAACATTAAGCGTACTTTACTAAAGCAAACAACACAACTTAGCGATAAAGTGCCAAATATGATCCCGCATTATATGATTTAAGTAACTTCCGCAGATCTTTGTGTAGTAGAGGACGCCACAATCGAGAGTAGACACGTCAAGTTCAACAACTTAGAGAAAAGGCTGATGACCTATCGTCTTACTCATATTAGAAAATTAAAATGTTTCACTCATGTTGAAACAATCACTCAAATGTTGAAACAATCAACTTCCATATTAGCCATGCAGTGCTCTTAATTATTAATGAACCCGAAAAAGTCGTCATTCATACGACAAATTAATTACCTCATTTTCTGATCCATGAAAGCAAAATGTCTCGATCCAGTGACTATTTAAAGAATTCACACTCATATACAGAAAAAGTATAAATTAACATACATAAAGAAATGCTAGAGGATATTTTACAAATCTGATTTTTATTTATTTATTTATTATAATAACAGCAATCAGTTTCGGTAATATATTTTACAAATAACTCGCGTCTTTTCTCTTAAAGCTCTTCAACCTCGGTTTTTTACAAAATGCATTTGTTCTCCCAGGTTTTATTGGTCTCTATAAAAACATTTATTAGCCTAAGGCAAGCAGCTTTAGGAGTTAACGGTAAGGTTAGGTTAGGTTATTTAAGCACGGCAAAGCCTCGAGAGCTATCTACCTAAGGGGAGGGATGCCTTCGTGGAGGACTTTCTAAGGGAAACTGGCTCGTATACACGTTACACATGGGGAAAAACCACGAAAACACACAATGCAGCCAACCCGTTCGCGGAATTCGAACCTCGGACCGAACTACCAGTGTCCAGCGACTTTACCGCTCGGTCGGTGGATGGCTAGGAGTTAATGTAAGTTCTGTGTTTTGTTTAAATTCGCAACCAATCCATAAATTTTCCTTTGATATTATGAAAAATTTCCCATGTTTATGTTTTCTTTTAGAGTCGGTGACGCCACAGAAGTAGCAGTCATGAAGTGCTCGGTGTTCTAAGCGGTCTCCAAATCATGAATTAATTTTTTTTAATTGGTAAACATACCTCGTGTCTTAAAAAGAGGGGCCTAAAAATGTGGTGAGGTGTACCCACTCCCAGTTCATAAATTGCCACTCCTTATGCGTGTGTAAATTCTGTTAAAGGTTAGAAAAGCTAAGCAGTACAGGAAGATAAGCAGACCCTAATAAAAGGTAGTAATATCAGGTCTCAGACACACGACAAAAGCCTTAACGCAGCAAGAAAGAAAGAGGGAATGAATATGACTAGGAAAATGTTGAGGGCCTAAAATTAATAATATTCGGTAAATTGGCGTTTTCACAATTACAGTGAATTATTTCATAATTACAGTGTAATGATTTATAAAATATTTAAAAATGCATTAACAAATATATCCTATGTTAAGTTACTTGAGCTTTTTCTGAGGACCCAATAGTGGCCGAGTAGGTAAGACCGCTGGTGGTTTCATCTCAGTCCAAATCTTGGTTGGCTGCATCAAAGTTTCCTCAGGTTTCCCTATGTCTAAAGGTATTATGAGGCAGTTTCTTTTAAAAAGTTCTCCATGAAGGCATCATTCCCTTCCCAGATAGCCTGCATGTGTTTTGCCTTAATTAAATCAACTAACCTTATGAATGGGGGAAATCACATTTCCTTTTCCTCTTCTTCATCTTTTTTAAGTCATACGCATCGGAAAGAGCATTTACTAATAAGCTCAAATTTTATCTTCAAAATGTTATATGGAAACGTATTAACTCAGGGGGGGGATTCTTATTCCGCCAGCATGCGGGTATTAGGTAGACTTTTTCCTCCCTTTAATTTTAACAGCTTAAAGACTAAGTTCTTCAGCAGCGAAAAATGTGAAGAATCAAAGGGAAACTGAACTACGGGTCTTTCCACTGCGCGTTCGATCTGCTAACCACGACACTACAGGCGCACGCAAGGAAAAAATGCCATATTTCCTTATCACAAATTATTAAAATTTTCACTTGATTTTATAAATGAATACGAATAAAAAATAACTGCGGTATAAATAAGGCTTAATTTTTTATAAATAGATATAATTTTTTATAATAGAAGTTTATAAATAAGACTTAATTTTATTGAGTTATAATTATTCCTTAAAACTTAATACATAAGTAGTACACTAAAAATAATAAAAGTTGAAGGTACACTAAATGAGTGAATTAATTAGTTGAGTATTTCACAGCGAATGCGGATAAGTTATTTCACCATACTTTTAATTTAATTATTAATTAAGTAATTACTGAACAATAAATAGTAAAGCTTTTTATTCCCTCCTCAATGAAATCCCTTTATGAAATATTTATGTAACTAGGCTCAACCAAGAAGGTTAAAGTAAAGTACTTCTTAACTTTATTTCTAACAAGTATTTCACAAGTCTGAATCCTTTATCAGATTTTATCTCCACCACCTTTGGGAAACTACTAATACAGTGACGATTAGTTATTTAGTTAATTATTTCAAAGCATTTGATTACTGACTGCTGCTTAAGGGAAGGGCTGCATTCGTGGCGGGTCTTTTAGGTAACATTAGTTGGGATTTATGCTACATGCGAAGAAATTACCAGTGGTCTAACAGAGGTCCGCTAATGGGATCGGTAGTACTATGAAGGGTTATTCAGTTTTTCTTTTCGCAAAAATTAAGAAATTTTAGTTTTTGCAAAATCACCTATAATAAGGTTGTTAATATTGATGCTAGGGGAAAAAGGCGAAATTCGCATATTAACCGACAAGAAATCTTGGAATTACATCATCCTAAGTTAGCCTAAGTTTTTATTATTATTACTATTATGGCAAAGCACACTAGGGCTACTTGTCTAAGAGAAAGGATGACTTCGTGGGAGACCTTTTTAAGTGCAACTAACTCGGATCCACATTATACACGGGAAAAACCACGAAAATACCCAGGCAGCTGGCACTTGCGCCCGCATTTGAAGCCGTCTCCAATTACCAGCGTTCAACGACTTTACCGCTCGGCCCCTGGTGAATGACCATGGCCTCACATTCCCACTAAGAGTTTCGCAAAAATTTCCTTCTTGAGACTTTTCGCTAAAACCTTCCAAAAAACGCGTAATGCTATACTAAGTACTAATAACACACATAATAATCCCCATATACTTTTTTAAACTGACACCTTATTAAAAAGAAGGCCCACCAACGGCCGAGCGGTAAAGTCGCTGAACACTGGTAATTTGGTCCGAGGTTCGAATCCCGCGAACGGGCTGACTGCATGGGCGTTTTCATGGTTTTCCCCATGTGTAACGTGTATACGAGCCACTTTCACTTAGAAAGTCCTCCACGAAGGTATCCCTCCCCTTAGGCAGATAGCCCTTGTGTGTTTTGCCATAATTGAATACACCAACACCTTATTAAAAAAGTCAAATTCCGGCAAAACCCGCATCGTTACACAAGGTCACGTTTTTTTATTTAAATGGATGTTTTGCCAAATCATATTCTACTCAGGCTGTTCCCTCTCCTTTTGGGGGCGGGGGCTTTAATGCACGTTTTGCTCGGTATTAAGTTCACGAATTTAAAAATATAGCACAGGAAAGTGATTATCTTCATCTTTCCTTAATCTGAAATTATTTTACTTTCGCCGTATACAAACGAAATTCATACAATGGTTTCTCTTCGTCTTCGAATATAGAAATGCGACTAAAAATTAATCTTCATCATTGTCTAAAAAGATCCAAAATCTTACATTTATTAAGATCAAATATTACTTTAATCATCATGCGTGCTTTGAGAATGTCAGTTGGAGGATTAAACGTCCATGCTTTGGAGAAGTTTGTGGCTGGCTGACGAAAGTAGTGCCTTTAATTTTCCGAAAATAATGCTTCAACACATTTCATTTCCAATATAAATTGAACTTGTGTGATTCTGGTCCTAAAATTTTGCATTTCGGAATGGAATTACTTTTGCATAAATCTTAATGAAATAATTAGTTTGCATATAAATACTAAAATTGTTTAAAATTTCCAAAGTAATTTAGCACTTATAACTAAAATTAAAAAATAATGAAGAAAAAGCATCTGAAATTTACGTATTTGTTTGAGTACTAAGAAAATTTTGGTATCAACAAAATAACAAAATACCTGCTGATATTCGGAAAATGTTCACGCAAATTTCGCAGAGCCATTAAATTCCTACTTTTCATTATTTTACCTAACCATAACGTATAGTTAAAAGTGGCAACTTTAAAACTTCAAGGTCATCAAAGGTCATAAGTCAATCAACACGATCAGTTTCAGATTATCAGCAAAATAGGAATTATTTTTATAAATGCAGTGTTTATATTATCTATGTATATATTGCTTCAGGCTGGTAATAATGCTTTGCATTAACCTGAGAATGAATTGTGAAAGATAATTTATTTCCAATGTTTCTTAATAAATGGAATATTTTTCAATTTCAACAGCTTTTAACGGATTTACATATCGAGAGTTATTTGTCTGCAGATCAGTATCATAACTCTATTGAAAATAAAGACATGAAAGACTATCAATATTTTACAGTGATTTTTGAATTTTTACTGACTTTTTTTGTTCCTTAAAATTATGAAATTTCGCAAAAGCAAGACCAGCTGATAAAATACGTAAAATAATGC